GTCTGCTTCACGCCACAGTGACCATAAGAATGATGGACGTATTGGGCAAGGGACCGACCATATCTCTTGGGAAGTACATACTTATCCCGAATCCTCAGCAGGCCATACTCATCGATGCGGAACTTGGATAGACCTCTGCCAATTAGAGTTCGAAGCTTCCCGCAGTGCTCATCAGAGTTCTGGGCTGCCCTGAGCCAGTTACGGGCGAGCTCTGGATCGAGAGGGATGGAGCATTGTAGAGGAAAGTCCGTACCAGTTCTCCAAGCCGTGAAACATCGGTGTAGGAGCGAAGGGACCGGAAGAGAAGATAGGGGATCAGTAACCGTGGCTGCAAAGACTGTACAGCAGTTGCAGGTTGATGGTTCTTGATTAATATCGTCGTGCAAATGAGAAGAGCAGTTGTCTTCACCGTCGTCGGTCGTTGATGCACCAGGTGGTATGAGTCGAACTGATGATCCACTGGTTGGGTGCTTGTACTGCTGTCCTTCCTCAATGCATCGTGCCATGGTGTCGCAGACTCTGCGACGCAGAGACTCGGCAGAGGGTGGTCTCTCGGCACCCAGAGCACACCATCGACGTATGACTGAAAGATCATATACCGCGAATGCCACGAACCGTAGTTGAGTTGGTCGAAGCTGCACCACTCTTTGGTACAGTTGGCATTGTCGGTGATAGAGTAGACCGGGGGTAGAAGTAGAGTCTTGGCAGCTTCCAGTAGTAGCAGGAGAGCCATCCTCTCACGCGTTGTACTGGACAAAGTCGACTCTAGCTTTGAGAACCGACTTCATTGGCAACACTGTGAGTGGTTCTTCACATCGTAGTAGCTCTGAGCTACTAGCTCATTGAGACGGTGAACCAAGGAGGAGAGGGTGCTCGCCAGCATCACAGGCCGGCTCCTGTACAACTGCTCGAAGCACGAAACCACTCCACGAATGTTGATTACCGTCAGATACGAGTAACGTGGCGATGTGTCGGTCAGCACTCTCGAAGTAGAGGTTCATGCGTGGGACACCGGAAATATAATATCCCATAATCTCACGAAAAGCGGTGGGGACACTATCGAGATGGACGCCAAGGCGTGGATCACCCTCTAGGATGCAAGGGTCGCCAAAGTCCTTCAGGGCACGCTGCATAATGTCAGTAGCCTGCAATATGCGTGGTGTGAGCCAGCCTCTCATATAGTTAGCAACCCCCGTCCAACTTCTCAGCCACGCAGTACGGTACTCCCTGACCGATTGCT